AAATTAAAATTATAAATATTCATCTCATCTAATCCCTAAAACAATTTTATATATTCAACTGTCCAAGACCCTCATTGAGGGAGAAGAGAGGTCTTCTTTGGGCACATTCAGCAAATTACCAAGCAGTCCACAGATTGTCAAGGTGGAGCTTCCCAATGAAGAGGTGCACAGGATCAAGTTGAAGACAGAACAGTGAGGCCAAGACTGCATCATAATCCACAAGAGGATGTTGAGGGTTGGGATGGTGGCAGTGAGGATGGGGAGGGACAGACCAGTCTGGAGGACCACACAGAAGAGGGACGAATAGTTTCCTTTGATGGTCCCTTGGGTGCCCATAGTCTATGACTCCACAGCTTTGGGGCTAGGATCCCAAGAATACTTTATTGTGTTTAAAAAGTAGCAAAAAGAGAAAAGATGTTGAAAGAATGAATGAATTCAGGTGAGCAATGAGTTAATTTCACACATGTTAAACTTTGGGTTATGGGTGGACAATGTAGCAGACATGTCCTATGGCTTAGTTTTATAATAAACTAGCCAAAATTTGCTCTAGATATTTCAGTAGTTCAAAAGTAAACACTAAGTGCCAACTATTGTCAAAGTTGAGAGCCCTAGAGACGAACACAGACATGGACAAACTCCAGTCTAGATGCTCAAAATGCTTATAATTTTAGAGGATAAGTACAAGCTCTAGAATTTCTATATAGGAGTGCTCTAGGGAGCAACAATATCATTCCAAGTTTGGTTAGAGAATCTCACTTAAAGCAGTGTTATATGGCAACCAAAATTCTGTTTATTTGGCATGAAAGCAGGGGGATGCTGATGGAAATTAAGAGATACAAGGCTCCACTTCATCCAACAATTTCTGGTTCTACTATAGAGCAGGAAAAATAAGACAAATGATGGAAAAAGCACTTAATGCCATGAGAAATGCAGAGTAACTATAAATAAGAATATTTAGTACTTAAAATAGGAGTGAAATTTAGGTTAAAAGGTAAGAGTTGAAAGTAGAGGCTTGGCATCAAAGCCAGAAGACTGGATGAACTCTTAGAATAAAAGAAGTGCTGCCAAGAGCTAAAAGGGTAGCTTTGTAAACTCCCAAAGTTAAAGGCCGTTCTCATAATGCCTCCAGTTGAGCTTTGGGATTCCACTTGAGAAATCTGTCATGGTGCAAAACTGTGCTATCAGTATGGGAGCTGCTGGCCACCTGGGGTTATTTAAATTTAAACAAATCAAAACAAAATGCATTTAATCTAAAACTCACTTCCTCAGTCATACTAGCCATATTCCAAGCACTCCACAACCAGCCACATGTGGCTAATATTTGAAAGCACATATTTGAAAGCACAGATAAAGGACACATCTGTTGGCTAGTGCTGATGCATCACAGGCAACAAAGACAAGATAAGGGATATTCACCATTGTTGACCTTCTAAAAGTGACATGTACAACCCATACAGAAGCATCTTTACCTTGACCATAAAGATGGTAACTCTTCTTGTAAGTCAACATTAAACTCTTCAAATACTTTCTGTGCTTTCTGAAATTCTTCTTCTGCCTAGAAATGATATACAACACAGGTTTATGTTAAAAAAAATTACTGAAACACAAGCCTTTTCTATATACAACAACATTATTTAACATAAAATAGGAAGAGCTTTATGGCCTTCAGGAAACATTTCAAGGAGAGACATTTTTCTGGTTAAAATTCACATGATTTTTTTTCAATAAAAGTGAAATATTTAGTCTTACTAAGACAAGAAAACTGAATTGATTATAATGGTTATACCTGTAGTCTCTGGCAGATTCATTCATTCTACAAAAATGTGTTAACTGTCTGTCACATACCCTGCTCTGCTCTGGATACTGGACATGATGCTTCCTAAATGAATTCCCAGTCTAGAGGAAAATCTAAATAATTACAAGATAAGGTTTACAATCTGTTCTGAAGCATGCTGCTAGGGAAGATGGTACAGAGAACAGTGAAAGTTCCAGAGGGAGTGATTTTTAACTAATCTCAAAGAATCAGCAAATGTTTGCTAAAGAAGTGGGTGGAGAAGGGACAGCAGTACATAAAGGTGGAGTCCCTTGGGTTAGAATTCTAGCTTACCTCCTGTGTAAACTTGCTGGACTGTTTTACTTCCTTCTCCTCAGCTACCTCATCTGTAAAAACACCTATTTCACAGGTGCTATATTAGGGAATCCTGATATAGATACAGTGTCGAATGTGATGCCTGGCAGTTCTGGAGTCTTGCATGAAGGGCAGTTGTTAACGGAGATGCTCAGGAACCAATGTGCAGGTCATGAAGGCTCTAGCTTAGGATGTGTGCATGGAAGGGGATGTGGGGAAGAAGTCTTGAAAGTTGATTAGGATAGATAGGTGAGTCATAACCAAGTTGTGAAGGTCTCATATGCTATGCTAAAAAATTTAGGATTTCTTTTCTAAGGCAATGGGAGCCATTAAAAGGCTTAAGCATGTATCTAGATATACGATATAGAACCACCATTCACACAGCTGTGTGTAGGCAGATCCGAGAAGGCAAGATCAGGTGTTAGTTAGTTAGTGAGTGAGTGACATGCATGGTAAAGCTACTGAAATGGGCTTTCTAAGAGACAATGAGTATTATACAAACCTAGCACATGTCTCTACTTTCAGACAACCATAAATTATGTCTGAGAATTTCAAACTTGATTTCCTATCTGAACCTGCATTTTAGCTCCAAATAAGCACTACAACCTCATAAAGAAGTATAGTAACACTTATTACTTTCACTGATCCTGCAGTATTGTTGGGGTACAAAGTTTATTCTGATCAAAATGTATGAATCAGTGTCAGGAATACAAATTCTACAATAACATGAAAACCCTTACTTTTAATTAAAAATTAGGGAAAGCAGCCCACAAGTATCATGTTTCCTTTAATACTTAGTTTTTAAAAGCACTATTTAGGAAATATTTAGTTTTAAAAAGCAAAGTTGCTATAAATCATGAAATATAGAGAGTGGTGTCAACAGTCAGTGGGATCAATCCCTACCTTAGAGATCCGACTTTCATCCTTCCTTTTGGAGCTCTGCAAAGCCTCCAGATGGTGGCGAGCACTGTCATAGTCCACCAGCTTCCTGCTGCGCTTCGCAATGCGATTCTGCCAACAGGGAAAAACATGCACTGAGAAAGAGACACGGTCATACATTCTCTCTTTTTGACTGCTGAAATGCTTTCCTCGTTCAGAGCAGTTGAGGATCGTGACTGGATCTTCAGAGCAACGTGGACTGGAATTTCAGTAGATAAATGATCCCTGGAAATCAGACAGGAGTTTTAAGATAACTATGACTAAAATGTTGGAAAAGGTAGACAACAGACATAAAAGATGGGGAATTTCAGCAGAGACATGGAAGCTTTCATAGTCAAATAGAAACCAAATGGAAATGCTAGAAATTTTAAAAAGTGATAGGAAAAATGTCTTTGATGTGCCAATAATTAAACTTAAAACAGCTGAGGAAAGAAACAGTGTACTTGGAAACAGAGCAAGAGTAATTATTGCCATTAAAACACAGAGAAATAAGAATTGAAAAAAATAACAAAATCAAGCATACAAGACCTATAATACAGTATCAGATGATCTAACATAGAGTATCTGGAGTCTCAAAAAGAAATGAGAGGGAGGGGAGTGGGAAGAAATATTTGAAGAGACAACAGCTGGGAATTGTATGAAATAATGAAGACATCAAGTACAGAACCAAGAAACTCATATAATGCCAAGAAGGATAAACAGCAAACAATACACGTCTGAAGACATCATAGCCAAACTGCTTAAATTCAAGAATAAAGAAAAACATAACGAACAAAGGTAAGAATTATGGAAGACTAATGTTCAGAAACCCTGCAGGCCACCATATAGTGGTGTGACGTCTCTAAAGTACTGAAAAATAAAAATAAATCTGCCAATTCAGAATTCTATTCCCAGTGAAAATAATCTTCCAAAAGTGAAGGAGAATAAAATGTTTTTTGGACAAAGTAAATAGAATTCACTGCCAATATAAGAATGTTAATACTAAGTAGAGCTATACAAAGAATGAGTACGAATCAAGGTTAATATACATGATTTTGTTTTCTCACTTTTAATCGCATTGAAAAGACAATTGATAATCTACAGCAAAGAACAGAAACAATATACTGTGGAGTTTATAACATACAGAAAAATGTATGACAATAACAGCACAAAGGAAGAGAGGGAAGAACTAGAAGAATATTGTAAAATTCTTAGACTGTTTATAAAGTGCTATAATAGTATTTGAAGTTAGACTTAATTAAGGATACATCATAAATTGTAGGGCAACCACTAAATATTTAAGTTTTAAAAAAAGAGGTGTAACTAATAAGCAAATAGTGTCAGATTGATTCCTGAGCCCCAGACTAAGACATACTGATTTAATGAATCTGAGGTAAGGCCCAGGCATCTGTCCTTCTTTAAAAGATCCTTAGTTGCTGCTACACTCAGCCAGTCTGATTAGAGAACTAAGGCAGGAGGAGAGCTGTAAGGAAACTTTAAATTTGATACAATAAGAAAAATAAATAAATAAATGTTTTTGGCTTACAAACCATAGTCACATTCCTGGGATCTTCACAGTGACCTATGGTATGTGTGGTGGAGGGATTATTCCCATTTTACTTGGAGGGGATTTCCAGTTGTATGGGATTATCCTCTCATTTGTCCAGAATTACTCAGAAAGTCTGTGGCAAAGATGAATTAGACATCAGCCCCCCAACCAATGCCAGGTGTGGGATGAGGCGCACACTGAGAGAAGGCCCTCCCTCTCAGAGTCCTGGAAGTGTGGGGTCAGCAGCTGGGAGCAGGGGCCTCCTATATTGTGACCCCACTGCCCTCACCTCACCAGCCCCATTCTGCCCCAGCCATGCTCCTGACTCTTGGTTAGTACCCCCCCTACAGCTCCTGTGTTTCTCTGACAGATGCTGCCACTCAGCTACCATCTGTCACCCCAGCCTATTCCTTTATACCCCCTTCAGGACTGATGAGAGGTGGGCTGGGAAGCTATTGTCATTTAGCTGCCTCCAGTATCTTTCACTTCCCACTCTGCACCCACCAATTCCCACTGGTGTTAGTAGTGGGAAGTATGGCTGACACACCACATTCGCTTAACGATCTGTGATGAATGAGCCTGGGCAGAGTGACGCCCTTCAGTGACCTATGGTGGACACAGTAGGCTTCTGAGGTGACAAAGCTCATTATTTTTAGCAAACATCTGTTGCCTTCAAAGGAACAGTGTCCCTTGAAGCAGTCACTGGCCTTGGGTAACAATATGCAAACTCATAAAGCTCAGCACTGGGGACCTGAGGGATGAGGGTGCAGGGTTGGGGCACTCTCCTTTGGTATCTTCCAAGAAGCAGATCCTGGTTCTTTGGAGATGAATTTGATTTTTAAAACAGCTAAAATTCAGTTATTCCTAAGACTGGGAATAAGGTGGAAGAGTGCACTCAGGCATCCTATTTTTTGTTCAAAAACAAGAAGTGAAGTAATGTGATCCATTTTCTTGTGTAACTGACAAGTCAGTTACAGAGTCGAGCTTACCATGGTAGAATGACTATTCTGAAGGCCATCACTCATTTTGATGCACATATTTTTGTGTTGGAAAAACAAATCAATGTTGTTTCTTTACCTATCTGATATTTGGGAAACTGGAAAAAAGAACCAAATCTCCTAAGTAAGGGTAGAGTTAATAATACTTCAGCTTTTATATAGAAAATGATACAATTCTTATTTAACCATCCAATAGTAAATTTAAATTTACTCATTCAACACTAAATAGCTTAAATTGTTTAATTAATATTTCTTCAAATTTCCACTGTGCACTGACCTTATACAGTAAAGAAAATATTTTACTGTACCTTTTAAATTTCAATAATAACCAAATTTCATTTGGCACACTGCTGTAAATATATGCTTAGTTGCTCACGCATAGCTGCCAAGATAGAATGTAAACTACATTTTACAATAACTGCTCACAGCTGTAAGCCTCCCTGGGTTGGTAACAAGCTGGCTCTTATTATAGCACTGATTGTAGATTCAGTGTTGCATACTAAGTACTATAACACTGGGTGCCTTGCCAACCACAGTGAGAAAAGTCAAACATCACCCCCTTGTGATTAGTACTTCGTAGCTCTTGCTGATGGCTACAGTGGATATTTGGAAATTTGCCTGAGGTTTTAACTACACATGTCCTATTGGGTTTAATGGGAGTTCAAAAAAGTCAACTGTGTTCCATGCTTTGAAAATTCTCCACTCAGTATTTTAATCACAATCCTCCTTTCCATCAATAACCTGTTACATAAACACTCAGCACCAACTTTATGAAGTGCTGAAATCTCTATCCACGTCTAACTTCCATTTACTGAGTAAAGGCACACACAGTAACTAAAGTGCATTTGCACAAGTCTTTCAAATGCTACAAACAGCTCTCCCACCTGCTCTTCAATTCCCGAGAGTTTCCTTTCCATGTTAAACACTGCTATTTCCTCAGCTGTTCATTGTATAAAGCAGCTTCATAATCCTCTATCTTGACTGAAACCCTGTGTGTATGCTATGGTATTCTAAACACAATGTCAGAGAAAGAGAGAGAACGAGCTTGTTTCAGCCTCTGTCCATGAAGCAGGTAAAACCATGACATATATTTCACCTTCAGGACATCCAGGAAGACGATACTATTTCCAAATCCTAGTGTAAAGATGTTTTCGTAAATGAAAGATAGTCTTTGTGCATGACCTCAACCATGGACCCCAAGAAAAGGGCCTGCTGAAGCAAAAGTTCTCCTGAGTTCCTCATCTTTCTGACATGGAAAAAATGCAAAGACTAGCCCGTATAATCCATGTGATCTTATTTTAATCTCTCTCTGTTTTCATGTAGGTACTTCTGTGTGTATTTGTCTTTTAATGACATATACAAAATAGACTATATATATATAAAGTATGCAAATATACTCCCAGAGAGTGTACGGCCAACTTCCAAATAACTGTCGCTGGGCAGGACCACAACAACTAAGATCCTCCATATTTTTTTTGAGGATACTAAGATTTTGTTCCTGAAACTCAGTAACTTTTCAACTGTGTTCCCCTGTCAATCACAGCCTTATTTCCTTAGCTAAGTCATACTATGAATATATGTCACATGAACAAGTCAGAAAAATGGCAGACTGCCTTGAAATGTTCAAGTACAAGGACAAAGTGTTTCCCTTATCCTCTTCTGATTATTGGGGATTGAGTTTTATAGATATTAAACTACCACCCCATAAACAATTTTCTGAAGTGTGATAGAGATTCTCAGACTGCTCCACAAATGCTACCACTTCAAAGACAAAAATCTGAAGTTCTATCAAATAATCTGGGGATATCCCAAAACACATTCCCTATAGGCTAGTGCATGAGATTGGAGAATTAAAAAAAAACTGTTTTTACTTTAATTTTTTATTTTCTCAGAAAGTTTTAAAAATTGGCATATATTTTAATTAGGATACAGTAATGCAATGGATAAATAAAGTGCTCTCCCACCTATTACGATACCATCACTGAGAATTCATCATTTGGACTTTTTCTCTGTGACTCTTTGCAAATAAGGCTAATGTAGCTAGTCTGGTTCCCTTAGGTTCTTGTCTGGTGCCCTGGGTGCCCCAAAGCACACTTGGGGACTTTGCTGGCCAACTGGTGTTAGGTATTTCATGTGGGACCAAGGAAGCTGACATTATTGATATGGGTGCTGTTTTGGCCAAGAAGCTTCCCTATGCTTTATGGCCAAGGCCATTGAACATTACTGCAGATGGTTTCCCAGTCTATGGCAGTGGCTATGAAGACCAGGTCAAAGTGGACCTGCACATCACAAGTTACCTAATACAATAGTGCAGGTGCCTGTGGACACTGGTTCACGGCTTCCTCACCCTACAGGTAGAGTAGCACATTGCTGTCTTACCTGCCACTCCTCCTTGAGAAGGGAAACCGATTGCGCAGCAAATCTATGAGTCCTACCCTTTGCCATATGCAACCCTGATGGTTTAAAAACCAGCTTTCCCTCCAGAGTCAATTTCAAATCTAAGGGTTGACTATACTCTTCACTGGTGTATTTCCCTCTCAATGAATCCAAGTGTCAAACAGCACAGTGTTTTAGACATGGTATTTTTAGAACTAGATGCAAAGGTACTTGAAATGTTTACATCATAATACTTCAATTTGAACCTGAAAATTTCAAGGAGAGAAAAAAAATACGCAGGTGTGCTATGAACATATGAGAAATAAAGAGTAAACAAAGAAAGTTCACATCTTGCTCTCATGTTTACAATGAAGTTCCTCCTTTCCTTGTGACTTTTGTTTATTCTAGGGGAAATTCTTATCAAGTGCTATGCAGTAAAAAGGTTTGAATATAAAGAACACAGAAATTTTTTGGTATCTCTGATTTATAATTTTGTATCTAGAGTATTAGAAAGATTTCTTTGTAGAGAAATAAAAAGCTGAAGCAGTACATGAAAGGGGAAAATTCTGTAACTACCTTTATTTCATACTGACAGGAACAGGATAAAAATTCCATGCTTAAATAAATGAAAAGTTACCAACTGTCTTTGATATCAGCTTGAGGACTTTTAATTCCACTCATCTCTTGCCCCTGTTTCAATAAGTACATGGGATAATTCAATTCTTCCCTTTATAGACACAGAGTAAAATACCTTTATGTCCGGAAATTGGCCCAGATAGGTATCCAGTGTCAGCAAGGACCCATCAACTAGTTTTTGATGGAAGTCCTCCCAGAGCACATCACATTTCTGAAAGAAAGAGAAATAAAGACATAACTGCTGAATTAGTTTAATTGGCTACCTTTCACCAAACTTCTAAAAAAAAATCTAGAACTATAAAATGAGATAAGAAATACTTCCCCAGACAGTAGATGCTAGAAAGAATGTGGATTATTTAATGATACAATGAAATTTCAAGGCAATTTGGCTTCAAGTTCTAATTTACAATACAGGCTATGCAATATCCAATATAGTAACAATATACAATGTTGTTCTGATTTACAATGTAGATATTGATACAATACCTAAGAACTCAGCTCATTAAAAAACATATTTCTGCATCTGTATTAATGAAGAATGTAGAAGCTTCAGAATGTCCCTAGATCCCTATAGAAGGTCTTCAGAGCTAAGAGACTGCAGAATTCCACTGAGACAGCTTGCTTCAGAAGCAATACATGAAATTAGAAACCACTCCAGACAGAAACAAACAACAGCTATTGCTGAAGTCTCTACAGAGACAGCAGAAAATTTAGTCATATTGGGAAGGGCCATTTATGGAGTATCAACTATGGCAAACATATAATGAACATTGGGTATTATTATTATTATTACTTCTACTCTCACTGTATCAAGGCATTGGGTTAAATATTTTACCTGTGTATGTGTGCATGAGGTCATTTCATTCCCATGACAGCTTTATGCAGAAATTCTTATTGTTGACACAATAGAGGATACTGAAGTCCAGAGATGTTACATAAGTTGGCCACAGAATTGATAAAGGACAGACTCCATTTCAACAGGTCTGTATCCTTGAATTCAAAGTCCATGATCTGTCTATTCTGTGGGCTGCTTCACCAGAATGGGATTCATATCCTGGCTATGTGACTGTGAAAAACTGAACCTCCCTGAGTTTCAGTTTCCCCAGTAAAGTGAGTGGACAATGAAAAGTGCTTCTCAGAATCCCAGGAATATAGTAGGTACCTGAGATGATCATCTTCACATTTCTTCCATTACTACATTGGGGTCTCCTGACAGTCTGCTGCTTGGTCCTCAGCATCTACCCTTTCTTTCTTTTAAGTAATAGAACCTCCAGTTTTAGCCAGGCCCACGGCTGCCTAGTATCTAGATGGTGTATTCCCCCAGCCTACATTGCGCTAAGTGTAGCCATGAAACTCAGTGCCGGCCAATGGGATGTACTTTAAGAGTGTCTTAAAAAGAGGCTTATCTTCCATCTCCCTCCTTCTTACTGACTGCAATGCAGAAATGAGAGCAGATGGCCAGTGCTCAGAGAGTCACCTTGAACCCAGAGGAGGGAGCAAGGATGGCCGAGATGGGCCCCTCATGCTTGTGGGTCCGCCACACCACACCTGGGCTGCCCACCTCCAAAGTCCTTAATGGGAAAGACAGAAGTGTCTATCTTGTTGAAAATACTTCTAGGGGAGACTTATTTGCTTCTGTTTCTTTTTTACACTTCAAAAACCAATCCTACTTGTTACAGATTCCAATTCAAGGATTTTTTGCAAACAAAAAATTTAAATCCTCTGTATTTGAAAAGACTCATCATCTCCTGATGTGAGTAGACACTGTGAACATGGAGTGTTCTGTTCCTTTGCCATTAAAAGGGCCCCTATTAGGATCTGCAAGTGAAGATTGTAAACATCTTGGCAGCCACATAGGGCCAAGGTAGGATAGGAGTCCTTTCTTTAAGGAATGAATTTCAACAGTGGTAACTGCCACTCACAGACTCTGACAATGGTATTCTGAAAAGCCATTAACACAAGTTCCTATTATTCCCTTAAAATTTCTTTTCATGGTGAAGTTTTAATTATACACCATTAATCAGAAATTTACAAAATTAGTTAAGCATTTAACACCATGATGTTGAAACACAGTGTCTTTATATTGAAGAAACAGGAGAGAAGATGCAATTACTTAATAATTACATTGGAAAACGGTGTGTGGAAACTGTTTTCTCCAATGTATATCCCGAAAACTTTCAAAAGAGGTAATGGGCCAACAAGAGCTCTTCTTCTATAAATAAATCTCTGCTTTACCTCAGCCATAAGAAGATTACAAAGCTCAAGATGGGGATGTCAGAATTTCCGTGGAGCAGCGTAGCCTGGGCTGCATGGTAACCCGCCCTCCCCAAGGCTGTGGAGAGGGCGCGTCACCCGTCAGGCCTTCCCCAGAGCCGCGGTGGCCGCAGCTCTGAGGTCTTCTGTGCCTACATGAGCAGCAAGGAGTTCAAGTGAAGCAGGCATGACAAACAACTGTTCCTTGTTTTAACAAAGAACTTGGGACATGAGAAAACCCCTGACAGGCAGCTTTCCAATGTCAGTAATAATAACATGGCTGAGCACCATGTTGATGACAAGAATACACAGGCTTACATGTGTTATTACTATTGTGTACAATTACTGTTCTCATTCTGCAGATGAGGAAACTGAAGTGCAAGAAGATTAAAGAATGCATCCAGCATCACACAGAGACTCCTGGTCTCTACCCCACTCTGCCTCCCTTACACTGTCCCCCTCCCACCAGCAGGATGGCTCTCAGCTAGCGGCTGGATTTCAGGTGTTAAGACATAATCAGGCACAAGGTCTGCAGGGAGCTAAATTCCCCAGGAGGCCAACCAGGTCTCTCCTCAGGTACTGCAATCCAGCAAGTGGACCAGCTCGGGGTTAAGAGAAATAGATGCCCTCCCCAGCTTCTGTCCCTGCTTTCAAGGGGGGGTGGGGGAGGTGGGGTACAGGGGTGAAGTTAGTACACAAAACCATGCCATGAGCCAGCTCTCCTGATGGAATGGGCTAAGACATATAGTAAGGGACTGAATAATGCTTTCATTATTTTGAAGGAAAATTACCTTTAACCCACAGCTTTCTACCCAAGTAGTTTTACAACCGTGTCCATTAGTCACTATGAGTTTGGAATGATCCAGACGACAGGATTGTTCTCTTGCCTTCCGCATACGAGGTGCCTGCTCATGATTAAGGCTGTGAAGTGGTAACAGGGGCACCAAGGGACAGGCGGAGTGAGAAGGACTAGGTGGAGCTTTGCAGAACCACTCCACCCCCACCCCAGGCTCCCCTGCACTGCGATCCTAGCTCTCACCTCTCCGACCATTTTCACATCTTCCCGCCCATACCAGTCAGGCTCATAGACTTCATGCAGCGACTCAGTGAGCTTCATCGAGGCTTCTTGCATGCCTAGCGTTGGAGAAAAACAACTCCTGTTAGATAGAAGTGGGTGAGCCTCTTCCTCTTTCTCCTACTTCTCTTCTAAGTGAGAGAAAAATCTTGAGTACTTGTTAACTACTTCAGGAAAAACTGTGAACGCATAACTGGATTTCTTCTGTAGTCACATGCTCCCTTGAGGGTCTCAAAGCCTTACCTGATTACACTGTGTATTTTCTATTATTTCCATGACAATAACAGATACTAGGTCTTGAAAAAAAATAACAAGGTGTCCTATTCAGAAAACAATAGTAGTGTACTCTATTATGTGTGCTGTCACTTGCTAAATGGCATGTAACCATAACGTGCAGGGCACTGAGAATACTTGTATATAAAACTACAGAAGTCTAAAAATAAAATCAATCTTAAATGACTTTCAATATAAGCAATAAAGCATTTTTTAAGAAGCAGGTAGAAGCAAAATCAATAGGATTTTAGGACACAACAGTTGAAAGTGGTTTAAGTGGTCTACAAATTTTCAAAGAAAAAAAGAGTTTTTCTTTTTCCTGTATTATTAGAAGGTGTATAGACAGCTTTAAACCAGAACTCTCAGAAAGCTTAGCATTCTTCAGTCTATGGGTCAGAACAGTCATTACAGGTACACTGGGTATGGTACAAAAATTATGGTTACTAAATAGCAGGAAAGATCAAGTTTCTGAGGGCAATGTATTGATCAAAGCATCATCAAATCTTTTCCAGGCTCCCCTCCAGCCCTCCCTCAAACATGAAGGGTAAAGCTCGGACTGCCACGGAGACGGCTCAGGGCTGAGAAAAGGGCAGGTGCATCCTGCGGCTGCTGACTCAGGCAGCGCCTGTCTGGCACCAGGCTCGCCCTACCAGCTGGAAGGTGAGCCCCTGCCGAGTTGTCTGTTGGCCTTTGTCGCCAGGGGAGGTGAAAAGGGGCTGGATAAAGGGAGAGGACAGAAAAATCAGTGCCGTCATTAGAAATAAAAAGCACGTCTCCAAAACTTAGTGACAGTGGGCCCAAGATGAGTTTTTGTTAAACTGAAAGCTGCCAACATAGACTCAGCCAGGGGCTTGTTGGATTTTAGGGAGTCACCTCCGGGTTCAACTGTGAGAGAAAAGGACAAGATAAAAGATGTCTGAAATGAAAGAAGAAGTATTTCCTTGAAGAGTAAGTATAAAAGCCAACATGAAATTTGGAATTTCATAGCATGTATCTCACTCTGTAGGCAGAGCACATCTGCACCCTACTTCCCCTGATGAGATGCAGACAGATATTCGGCCCTTGCACATTAGAGGTTGGACTATGTTTCAGGGCCACAGGAGGTGTGAAAGCCTGTAACCCTGTCTCCACGAAGGGCATCTCAGAGCAGTTGAAGGATGCCCTTTACAGCGAGGTGTGCGGCCCCCACCAGCTGAAACAACTTGGCAACCAGAAGATGAAGCCCTGGCAGGAAAATACAGTGATGACAGATGTCTCCGGGAACTCTGATGAAGCCAATTATGCTGGTGGAAGGACAGCCAAAAAATGATGCAAACACCTGCATCCATCGCCTGGCAGTTTAGACCCACGCGATGAAGAATGCTCTCTCTCGCACACGTGGTCCTTGCTGAGGTTGCAGCAGCATTATCTCAAGGATCCACTGTCAGCCCTCCCTAAGTACAAGCTAACCATCCTAAGAAAGGTACCCCTCCAATTCATACCAAAAGTTAGTCACTAGTTGACTCCTTTCTATAATTTGGAGACTGAAAGGCTTGTGAAGTTTAACTTTTTAAGTCTGGTAGAAATTATAAACAGTTGTGTGGATAGGTGCTTAATGTCTTCAGAGGAAAAGAAAGGATGGACCTGTAGGACAAATAACCTTCATGGTGAAAAATAAAACTGTGAATGTAAGCTTAAAATAATATTATATAAGACCTTACTTTTGAGGCTAAAAGCACAATGTTATGGCCAATATGTCTATTAGCGGCTAAAACTATGAATTTTGACATATAGATTGTTTCTAGAACACTCCATAGGTAGTACTCTGACAGATACATAGGTAAACAAGACACTAACTTTGCTCTTAAGGGGCATAAAGACTGGCAGAGATTTTAGGGATTTCAAACGTATTCTGCCAACTGAGCAGAAGAGGAAAAAAACCTAACACTTAAGATCCCTTCAAAATAATTTGGCAATACTAAAGCAGAATAGATTCTAAATGCCACCTGTAACGTTTAGCAATATCCATATCTAACATTTTCTTAAGAGGTTAATGATTTTCAAAACTGCAAGATAAGTGCCCAACATCATATATATAAGAATTATTATTATACCTTTGGATAGGAACCATTACCCTCTCTTCAAAAATTTGGACCTTCGCCAAGGCATTTATTATAACATCCTCTCTTTCCATTTGCAACCAAATTTCTGAGCTTCTATTTTCATCCTCTGAGATTTGTTGCACAGACTACATTGCTGCAAGAGTCCTCTTTGTTTAAACAGTCTGAGGGTATATGTTTTAGTTAAAAATAACATCAGTAAAAATACATTATGACAATAATCTGCAGCAGCTATACCATTAAAAGAATATCTAAGATATTCTATCTAGCAGCTTTGACCATTGTTTAGAAGAGAGTTGTTTAAGAAGACAGCCACTGCCTCAGAGGAAAGCAGGAAACGAGGTCTTTCTCCTAGAGACTGAAGGAGGAGAGTTAGGGGTGGGGCACGATGGTGACAGGCGGGTTGGCAGAGCAGACAGCTCGAGAACAGTCAGCCCCACTCCAGGGCTCATGCTTACACATGCTTACACAGACACAACTAAGAAATGATAATCATACCATTGGGGCCACGTTCCATTTAGAGAACAATCTTGTGTGTTCATTTTCCCGTGTCAGGCCTCCACAGCCGCCCAAATGCCAGGGACCCCAGATTCTAAATCCCTGCTGGACATCTCCACTCAGTGTGCCACCAGAACCTCAAACTTCAGAGGTCCAAAACAAACCCACAACTTCTCGTCAAAACCGGCTCCTACGCCTCTTCCCAATCCTCATGGATGTCACCCCGTTGTCCCAGATGGAAAACTGGAAACCACCCTAGGTTCATCCTCCCAAAGGCCTGCCAATTCTGCCTGACTCTCAGAAGAAGCCCCTTCTTTCCATCCCCCCTGCCCTGCCCTGGATTGGGCTCCATTAATCAGTTAGGTCAAGTGGAATAATCCAAATACTTCGTTGGGCAAAATACTTACACACAGCAAACGTTTGAATGTCAGTCATTATGAAAAATATTTTTGGATGCAGTATGGCAGAATAATTGAGATGATTATTTGCCATCAGTCAGCCTTTGTTAAAATCTTGTTTCTATCCCATGCCATCAGTGTGATCTTAGGCAAATTACCTAACCATCCTAGACCTCAGTTTTCCAAAGTGTACATTACTAATAAATAATAGTACATGCCATAGGTTGTAGTAATAGTGATTTAAATGAGGCAATAAAAGCTTATGTCATTCTTAGAGTAAAGATAAGTAGTGATTTTACAGCATCTTACTACACTGATGAACAGTGACTGAAGGGGTATGTGGGGGGGACTTGGTGAAGGGGGAAGCCTAGTAAACATAATATTCTTCATGTAATTGTTAATGATACCCCCCCCCAAAAAAAGCTTATGTCAGTGCCTGGCACATAAGTGCTCAAAAAATGTTAGCAATTAGTACTAAGTATTGGACTAGACTTCAAAGACGTCTCCTTGCAATTCTATTTCCTCTAACCTGAATTCCACACAACCACAATTAACTATTTTTTTTAAATGCTAACCTGATCATGGGACTCATTCCCTTGCCTACAATAATATAATGACTCCCTTTCTCATTGACAGAATAAAACCCCAATATGATACGCTATATATAAACACTGCCTGCCTTTCCACATCTCATCCATCTCAGCTCCTTGGTTACTCCTCAATGATGTATTTGTTTCCTGGAGAGGCCATGCTTCTAGCCTCCTGCACCTTTACACATGTTGCTTCTTCTACCTGGAAAGTCCTTCTAACATCAACCTCTGTCTCTGGCATACCTTATCATCTGACGACCACTTAGACCCCTCCTGGGTCCACTCAAGTGTAAGTTCCTTGGAATGATCATTCCTGACCTGGTCTACTGTCCCTCAGGTAGGGAGGGAGGTCTGTCTTCTATTGTGATGACCCACAATTTACAACCCACATGTATTTTTATGGCTATTTGGCCTTTTTGTTTATTTAACTTTCTCCCCATCTCTACTGTGAGCTCCATGAGAGCAGGTACTTTGCTCATCTCTGCATCTCACCTCCTAAACAGTGTCAGATCCATAAATGGGGCTCAGTGCAATGGCTGTTGCTGAAAATGAATGAGAGCATATAATCTACCTCGCAAAGCTCAAGCATCAGACCTACAGAGGTGAATGCCAACCAGAGATCAGTGACAGTAACAGGAAGAGTAGAGCTCATTTAATGCAATTTCACAGAGTCCTGGTGGTAGAGATTTTGGGGGCTTCTGAGAGCAAAGGGAGTATTTATAGATGAAGAACAAGGCAACTGAGAGGCTTGGTGACTTTCTTGTAATTGCCCCTGGTCCAGACCCAGGGCCCATCACTCTCCAGGGCCAGATCTCATTCCTCTACAATGCTGTCTGTATTACAGCATAGTTAGTTAGCTAGCGTTCTTTTTGTGAGAGCCAGAAAGTTGGCCAATGAAAGTACTTTGAAAATGCAAATTATGATATACTTAACACATAACCCTTGTCTTTTAAGTATGTTCCCCAAACCCAAAATGCTCTCCAAGGAACACTAAGGATTCCATAGTTAGATACCTAGGAAATGCCCCCCACCCACAGCCTTCTAGAGATTATATTAGCATATGAAGGGCTCCGTAGTGATTTAGTCCTGTAGTAACCTGTTTGAAAATTCATTCCAACCAGCCTTGCCCAAAGTAATTTAAACATAGGTCTGTTTTGTGGAGTATCATTTGTTAACATCACTCAATCAGCAAAATGTGTTGGGGAAAAGCTGATTTAAGGTCCTTTCTTCTTCATTTGGAGAGTGGCCACCAAAAGTGGAATGCAGGGCAGTCTGCAACAGGAAGGGTGCTTTCATTCTCTACCCAATATCTCTCTGGAGCTAACTTCACTGAATGGATTCTTCCAGACCACATTAAGGAGAAGAATTACTCCAGTCTTTTTAAACAGGATTCTCCATACTAAGGAGATAAAATAGACCAAGATTTATAGACTTAGGAAAGAGATTGGATCCATTCATTCTTTCAACAAATTTATCTACTTGTGTGTAAAAAAAACATACATATGTATGATAGAGAAAATCCTGTGCTTGAAATAATAAAAAGTCCTTGTGGTTGAATGCTTCAAATGCTTAGCACACAGCCTAGCACATAGTAAGTACTCACTAGAAAGTAATGGTAGTAAGTTGTCATTACTGCCTTGCATAAATGAACTCTAATTTGGGAAACCAATGGTCATATAGATCAAAGCCTATGTAAGACAGTAGATAAAAGCAAGGGCATAAGAGACACACTGACCAGAGTACCCATCCCAGCCCTGTTTACTAGGCACATGACCTTGCACAAACTAAACCTCTGCCTCATTCTTATCTACAAAATGAAGATAATGAAGTATCTGTCTCAAAGAGTTGTCATTAGGATTAAAATGATATATCTAGCCTACTGAAGCTTAAATACATTTTGATTTAAAAATCAGTTTCACTAAATTTTTATTATTTGCACTAACTTTTTATTATTAAGATTTTCATTATCTATCACAATCTTTGTAATCAACTTCACATACCACATTGAAGCTATGAACTAAAAAAAAGCTGGCCACCACGGTAGGGACCACCAAAAAGACTTCTAAGGTTTAACTAGTGAAGGTTTCACTGACTCTGGGAGGCTTGAAATGGATACTCATGAAAATTTAAGACTTTCTAACTCTATGATAACATCTGTTAATTACATGAAAAGCTAAACAATTGGCATCCAGAATCCTGCTAAAGGTTAGGCAAGACTGTTTGCCCTTCCCCTTATTTCCTTGGGCACCAGGATATATATATTGCCCCCAGCTCTTTTCTTTGAAAGAGAGAATCTTACGTAAATGAAATGCTCCCCTTTGAAGTTTGGTCTTTTTTGCCTGCCTCCGCCAGGATATAAAACCTTTGTATGACTTAGGCCCTTTGAAACATTTCTTCAACCTATGCGTAGGAGTTTTCCAGGCTAAAGTCCTTACTTAGTCTGTCTCAAATAAAACTCTGCCTTTAATTCAAGGTGATTTTAATGATCTTTTTGTTGATAAAACTGTTAGAATAAATTCTTAGAAATGAAACTTTTATTTTTTTAGCTTAAATAGTGTCTTTATTATCACACAAAGCAGAGAAGCACGAGGCAAGCAGTTCTTCAGGCTGGGTGACTTGGAGGCTGGAAAAATCTGTCACATGTATCAAGGGAGACCAACAATATCCATGAATAAAGTAAACCTTTTCTGTAAGCTACGAAACACAGCTCAGGTCCTCATGGCTAAAGGTGGTTCATGTCCATACCCGTAACAGTCAGTGGGGAGGGAATAAGGACTGCCATTTAACTCGGGTTTCTTCTAATTCCCCCCTCAGTTGGAAAGACAGTACAAGGCTGTCTTCTCTGAGGATATTAGGGTAACTCAGCTGGTAGAGTTGAGATAGTTTCAGCCATAGGCATCAACAGCGATAAATCTGGCAAGGAACCTGAGAAGGCCTGAGAGTGCCACACAGCCCGACAGCTTCCCTTGTAACTGGCATTCATACGATCTCTCTCTAGGGTTTACGTTCAGATATATGAGGTTCAACACCTGATAGAAGTCTCCTTCTCAACGTGTAAGCACAGAACAACTCTCCATCAGTCCTCCTGGTTTAAAAGCACTCCTAAAGCCTCCCTGCATTGTGAACTTTCTCGTGTCGAATGAGATGGGAGCTTAAAACCGGAAAATACACATTTAAAGGCTTTTTGCCAAACTGCTCTCCAGGAAAGCTGTCCTACCAACAGTATACAGAAGGGGTCTGCTCCCCACAGCTTGGCCAATGCTAGGTACTCTTTTTTTATTTTAATGTCTTTGAACATTTAGAAGAAAAAATGACAGCATTTTCCTTTTGATTTTGTTTAATATTCTTTGATTACTCATGATGATAAGCATTTTTCACACTTATTACCCATTTAAAGTTCTTCTCTGGATAATTTTCTCATCATATGTTCCACCCATTTTTTATTCCTTTTATCAACTGGTATTCATTTAGTTTACTAAGCTCTTATGTCTTGGTTCACTTTCATTAAATATGTTCTCAAAACAATGTTTTTAAAAATATATGTTTGCAAGTTTTATATAGTTATGAGGTCAGATTTCTCAATCTTTCCCTTTACAGTTTCTGTCTTTGAGTTGCACTTACACAGATCTTGTCATCTAAGACTAAAGACTAAGTCTACTGTATTTTAGTATTAGTAAATATTTATTTACTATACTTTAAAACATGTCTTTGTGAGCAAATTTAAATCTTCACTCTCCTGTAACTGAGAAGGGAGTAAAGTATTAGTTGGGAATCTCACTTTTTCCTGTATGTGTGGCCAGGTTAGCCAAGACCCCCTACAGATGACCCATTCTCGCACCACTAATTTTCAAAAGCTGCCTTATGATCCATCACATCCATGGCTGCACCCGAATCTGACTCAGTGCACAGAGCTGGGTAAGGTACAGCAATTAGAGACACAGCACACCTCCCTGGTTCTCTCTCCCCACTGTACCACCAGCTTCATTTCTTTGCCCTGCATGGCTGAGATGGGAAACCAATGGCAAGACCTCTCTGCCCCTGTTCGGTGGCAGGGCTGTAAGTGCCGCCGCTTCCCCCGGGTCACAAGCAGTCCAGGCCATGATATCCAGCAACCTGCCACCTGTCCTGATTCCTTGCCCCTTCTATCTGCAGGTCTTACGTGAGTCTGTGAGTGATATGCGCTTGGGACACACTCCCCCTCAGGATGTAAACCAGCTGCAGCTTTTCTTAAACAAGGTCTCAAGCTCATTCTAACAACTCTTCCTAGAAATTATGGGCATATGGGAGGCACTTATTCCTAGTTTCTAGCAAAGGGCAAACAGTTTGTCCTTGTATACTCTGATTATCATTTCAATGGGAATTTGGGAGTGGGTAGAATGGAACACCTGTGCTCAAGTAGCCATCTTCGTGGAAAGCCAAATGGCTTTGTAATTCCCACTTAATTCTGTCACTCGTGAATTCCAGGAACAACCTGTGCTTAGAAACATGCAGTAAACAACTCACACACATTACCTTTGATAGCTGCTAAATATCCTCGGAGTTCTCGCTGAAGTCTGGTACCCTCTGCCTGAAAAACACACAAACACAGACACGCTAAGCACCTTGTCTATATTTTGCACACAAACAAGTACAGAGCAGTAAGTCTCAGAGTTATTATTACCACAGGCTCATTCTTGGAAGATCATAAATATGTGGACACCACATCAGTGTAGATGTTTACAGAGGTTTTATTCAGGACAAGGCAAGTAAGATTTTGTTAAGAATAGAAACTATGACCCATCAGACAGCCTCCTCGGTGTTTAAGAGCTAACAAGTCTCTGAATTTTGACACATGGGTTATAACAGTAGGAAACTGATCACCACTGTTCAACATGGCAGCTGCTGGCTACATGCACTGTTGAGTGCTTGCAGTGTAACTCATGTGAGTGGAGAGGTATGTAAGTGTAAAACACAAGATTTCATAAATATACTAAAAACCTTATTAACATATTTTGTATCAATTGCATGTTAAATGGTAATATTTTGGATATGAGTTAAATGAGTCATATTATTTAATTTCACCTGTTTCTTTCCATATCTTAAAATATGGCCATTAGAAAGTTTTTAATTATCTATGTGGTTTGTACTATATTTCTATTGGATATCGCCAAAATAGAGAAATTGTTAAATCATCAATTTTGACAAATGAATCCTTGTTTGGGTTTGGATTGCCCTTAGAAACTTGAGACTCTATAACCAGAATTAGACCTCATGTAGTTTAATCTGGAGTTAATCCAGGAAATGTCAATAGGGGCATGGAGAAGTGAGGCAGGGAAGGGAAGAGGGCCAACACAGGTTGTGTTATCAAGAGAGTTCCCACAGTGGGCAACAAGGTCCTAGTCCCACTGGGGAATTCTGGGAGGTCATGCCCAACTACTGTAAATTCCTAGCTGAGGGGTAAGGTCAGAGGCAAGGGGCATTTATCCATCAACTCCTGTCAGTCATCAGCTGAGGTCTGCTCCTGGGGACATCCCCTCAGTAAAGCCATGCAGGGACAGAGAAGTCTCTATCAGCCAGAGAAAGCCCTCAAGTGAAGAGCTGCTGTTGGCTGGCAGTTGCAAGTAGTCTAGCTGGCTTGGAAAAGGTGCTAGAGGGCTTATGGCTGGGCACCCACAGTACCTGACACTACAACTGAAAATATAAAAAATATGTATTTTAATTGCATAATCATTTAACAAAATTGCAGAGAGCTAGCCTATAGAATGACTCCACCTTGATAATTCATAATACATCAATTTTAACTTAAAGTTCATAGTTAGTAATATAGCAACTATAACAGTCATATCCAATTTAATGAGCATTTGTTAGTATTTACCAAGAAAGGCAGAGGAGGGAAAATAACCCTACTTCCTTCAATAAATTACAATCTAGTAGAGAACTAAAATATCAAAATAAAAAATTACATTGCAAAGCAGATTTTATTTAGCTCTGCAACAGCCATTCAAAGTGTTTGGGGATACAAAATGCTCATCATATTTAAAGACAGTGATTAACACAAAGAAATGCTGGAAAGTGTTTAAGACTATCCTGGATCCCAAAAGGGAATCTGGATGAACTCTTTCCCTATTTGGTATAGTGTAGGTACAGTGACATTAGTTCTATGAAATCTATGTAAAGTTCAGGTGAGGTTTCCTTTATTACCATTAAGTTCAAGCTGTTTTCATGAGCTCTACAAACCCAGGTACTACCGGATAAAAGCTTAGGGTTAATTCATTTGCTGCACACGTGAACTTCAATCAGAATGGTTCTATTCAGAATGGCGAAACAGAAATCATAAAAGTTGTAAATAATTAACCCCCTTTCTTGTGTCTCCACATGGTTTAAAATCGAAACTCTAGGTTTCCTTGTATTGATGAGTCTGTCAGAAATACAGTGTGAAGACAAACTGCCACAAGCTAGATAAAAAAAAAACAAACCATGGCGGGTTTCCCAAACACCAACGTACTTATACCACAGAAATCTATGTGGAGTGGAGGGAAGGGATGAGAAGAATGAAGAGAAAATTCTGATGGTAAACTCCTGGGTAAAGGCAGATGAAGGGAATGCAGAGAAGAAACAGGTGGTGTCAGGATGATGTCCTCAACACCCATGAAGAGAATTTGGGGAGGAAAGAAGTAGGCCCTTCCCTTACTTAATATCTATTATGTGACAGGTACTGTTTCAGATTCTGAGTATGTAAGCTGAAAATATATGGCTCCGGGAAATTTTACTATTGTCAAATTTACTCTGCATCTCCCTGTCAGATCTGTTTTGGGGGAGGATTATACCTCCTGCCCCCATCAATATCAGGCTTGGCAGCAGGACTTGACTTAACCAATGAAACATAAGTGGAACTGACATGTACTACTTCAGAGAAGAAGATGTAAGAGCCATCACATAGTCCTACCCGCTCCCCTGAGCCCTGTAATGTTCCAGATAGGGGGTGCTTCTCCATACCAGGTCACAGAGTAGATCAAACATGAAGCACACTGCTGTTCACACTTTCTTGAGTGGGAAATAAACCTGTGTTCTTGAAAGCCACAGAGGTATTGCTACCATGGCATAACCTACCTTAAAAGGCCTGATAAAATAGTTCACCATCAATAGTAGAAATGCTAAAAGATGGAGAAGGCTAAGATCTAATGGGGGAAAAAAAGCAGTGGAGTTAGCAGAAAAGCACTGAAGGCATTTACAGAAATATTTCAGAAAGGAAATCAAATAGGAAAGACTAAGGACCAAGTGGATGGTTTAGCAAATAGAAGCCCAAGTGCTAGTCAAGTGATGGAAAAAGAGAGAATGGTACTGAGAGAAGACAGCAAGGCCCAGAATCATTTGTCCCAATAGATGGCAGATAATTTAGAGACAATAATATCTGAAATCAGACGTGATTTACACAGACAGATCCAGATGCAGACCAATGTAAAGCCTACAGCCCTAAAAGGTGCAAGCAGGAGTCTGAATCCCCTAAGGGCACATTTCTCAAAATGGTAAGTATGGACCTTAGGGGCACTTCATGGTGTGTCCACTGCACACAGAACCAGAAAACAAACCTAAAACATCTCCCTGGAACATCACTTTACTGAGGTTGGAGGGGAGCAAAGGAGGAAAAACCAGTACTTTATAGCCATTCAGCCACCTGTTAGGATGTAGAATGAAAAACTGCATAGAGATAAAACACAGACCTTCACAGAGTCCCCTGCTCTCAGCTCTACGAGTGTCAACGGCCCTTCCCTGAGCTAAGGCAGGGCTCACTTCTCCCCCAAAAGGACGCTTTCCCTTCAGAAAGTATTACAGAGCCTGCTGCCCTAACTGGTGGTTATGAGTCACCACAGCTGTTCAGAGTATCTGGAAACAGCAGGAGTAGTAAGGAAGGGCATTCTTTTCCCAAATATTTAAGGATTAAAGCATGTCAAATCAAGCCCACAATTAAGATTTTGCCTACGAGAAGAGAATGAAAAGAGAATGAAATAATCCAGGCTTCAATCCATAGACTGTGTTCATCCAGCTCAAGGGAAATAATCAACATTTTTTTAATGAAATAAGAATCCCAGAAGAGATTTTTAGATATTACAAGAGTGGAAGAAAGTTCAAATTATACAATAAGGGTTTAATAGATGAGTTCAATTTAAGCAAATAAACTGGAGACAAATTTAAATAACTTTCTTCCTCTCCAATTATTAAAATTCTTAAATTTCCCCATGATTATTAAGCTTCATAAATCATTCTGTAATAATCATATTGAATTTCATCTAAACTCCAGGCTGAATCAAAAAGGTAAAAGGCTCGGGAGAGAAGTTTTTCACCTATAATATGCCAGAGAGTGGTTATTCTGCACAAAATCTATCACATAATAAAGTATTCTTAACAGCATAAGTCTCTATGAATCACAAGTATGTTTTCAATTAGAAATAAATTCTTATAGCATTCTGCTCAGACTTCACTAAAGCTGAATTCATTTAAATTGCTCTGAAAATTACCATTTCAGTAACTCAGCCTTGAGTTGTGTATTGTACACCTGTGTGCAGTAAACAGATTCAAAATTCCACAACCTTCAGACTATATGCATGTACTTTGCTTTCTATTTCCAATGTCATTCTCTACAAGATAAAATTATTACCTAAATCCTGGTCACACTCTCTTCAGGGCCCATAGCCACATGAGAGCAAATGATTCTATTGTAATTAATAGTTGTCTGATTGCCAGCGAATACTCTTCTTTGGACAAGAGACAAGAAGGATTCCTTGCCTTAGTATAGTATAATAACATGATGCTGGTGTCAGAGGTTCTTCCTTACTTTTTTTTTTCTATTGAATTATTTATCAGTGTCAGGAACTGCTGTTCCTCAAGCCCAGACAATCCCCAGACCTTACTTTCTTCCTACGTGGCCGGAGGGAGTCATCCTGCTTTTCTTTCCTCATTAAAGCTACACCCACCTTCTCCCTCCCTTGGAGGGCTGGGGAGAAGGAAGCAGCCTCCCCAGGTCTCTGCTTTCTAGCTGTCCTGAAAAACAAGCCAAGATCATTTGGGGTTTTATCATGGCGATATGAAAAATTAATAGGCATGCAAAAAGTATACATAATTTTAAGACCTTAAAAGGTCTGAGAATCACTGTCTCTATTCAAAAAAATCCCTTTACTTTCTTGCTGAGTGGTATCTTGAAGCTGTTGTTTTCTTCCCTTACTCCTGTGAGCACCACCCATGACATCCCCCACTAAACACTAGAGAGAATTTTAAAATCTAATTAAATAGTTAGAATGCAGCAGGCACACCACCATAAAAAGTTTCAGGTATCTTTGTTACATAATACAAATAAATCACATCCTATATACCTGACTAAATGTATTTCCAAATTGTTTTACATGAGACTGGTCTCAATAACACTCATTCCTTAACTGTTTGTATACATGTCTTGGAGAGGTGTGGGGAGTCAGCTGGAGCAGGGTCAGTTCCCAGGCATGTTGGGCTCCTGGACAGCTCTTATTTACAAGTCCCTCCTCAGCACCTTGGACAGAACCCCCACCCCTACCCCAGCAGGCACCTCTTTGGTTA